TTCGGAGTTTGAGACCCTGGGAAGGACATAGGATACTTTTTATCCCAGAAATCATCATTTAAGGGGGTGAAAATGGGGATAATAGTTTGTATCGGGAAGCAAGCTAGGGACGAACCCGAGCCACTGATCATATAATACTATACTAGTACCCGAGCGAAGCGAGGGTGAGTCGCTAGTGTCTTATAAAGAAGGAATATGTAAAATATATAAATATTTCCGGCGATAACTAATAAGCATGAGATAGGTATCACAGACTAATTAATTATTATAATATTATGTCCATTTTATTGACTGATAATCCTTAAGATAATATACAATTTGCCATCATTATGTATTTATAATTGTACAAAATTTTTCACCTCCTCAGACGTCAATTATGGCTAACCAATAAATTATTGTTATAAATCGTGGCTGTTAATATTTATCTTTTCTAAAAAATGTCTAAAAAGTATTTTAACAAAAGTTATTATTGTTTAATTATTTAAAATATCCATTTTAAAACGAAATATTTCTTATATTAAGTATACTCGCATTGCCCGCGGCTCTGCCCGCGTTTAGATGACCAAAAACCAAATTCTTAGGTTTTACATATTAGTATACTCTTACATTGCAGTTCTTGTATTTTTTCTCAGAAATGAGATATTTTCCTGCGGTAAAACGTATTATATACGCTGACCCGGATAACCAGCTATCATTATACTAAATTTCATCAAAATATCTCCAGTAGTTTTTCTGTGATGCGGTAACAGACAAACAGACAGACAGATAGACAAAAAATCTAAAAACTATAGATTCGGTCTCTGTATCGATAATAATGTCTATTTCAATAAGATTCTCCAAAAAATATTCAAAGATTCGGCTTAGTTACAATTTTATTATATGTATCTGCTTAAGAATTTCTAGTAAATGAAGGTAAGTGAAATAAGTACTCGTAGGTCCTTAAAATGATCCATGAAAATGTTGTTGGACCTATAGTGCTTTAAAGTTTGATAAAGATTGACTCATTTGTGGGATAGATAGATTTTATTATATATTATTCTGTAATAAAAATATTGTAACTCGACATTTAGTACAACAAAACTTTTTAGTTCCTTCGCCGGCTCTCAGCAGATCTACACTAAACATACTATCCGGTGGTAGCTTTGTCGGAGACTTAATACCAACTCTGAAATGAACATTCAAGTGGTCTTATAATTCTAATTGAAAAAATAGAACTTAAATTTGACTTTGCATTATAATTCAATAATAACTGTTGATACCAATTAGAAATAAAGTAGACAATCGGGCAATGTATGCTACGTCAAATTATATGATGTTTACAATTTGCAGATGGTTTATGGTATGGTTTTTAAATAAAACTATTTTTTCGGATTTTTTCGCGGATTTATTTTGATTTTTGGTTTCGAATGCTTTACAGCGTGTGGGTCACGTCAGAGACTAAGGTTTTAGACGTCTCAAATGTATAGTTGTTACAGACAGCACAGATGGTGTCTAGAATCTAAATGACGTATTTCTGAGATTTGAATAAAAAGTTCGCCACCCAATAAGCGGTACCTCGACAAGAATGTTATGTTTTATTATCCAGTGGCTAACTTATATCATGAAATCCTGTTCGATTCGCAATTTTAGCACCATCATTTCTATCAAGCAACGAATGTGAATGAATAAATAGTAACTTTCTAATCTTTTTAAAGGACGACCGGTCAAGGAAAAATCATATCACTATTGACGGAGACCCATGATCATGTCCAACTCTAAAAAGTGTGATAGCGTGTAAACCTTATCAAATTTTAAATTCTAGGCCCAGTACTTCTGTTGCGTACCTATTGATACGTTGACAGAATATTTTATCGGCGTAAATATTGAAAACAATGGGATTAAAAGTAAAATAGTTTGTTAGATGACTCGATTAAAGTTTTGGAGCAAGGTTGTCCGCCTCCGCCGGTGGTGACGGTAGCGTCTCTAGCAGCGACCAGCGCGACCAACAGCCGACAGTATCGCAGTGTCGACAATATCGACAGTAATTAGAGCGATGATCGATGTCTCAAGTAAGCCGCGATAAGATACCATTAGCGGCTTATCGCCCGTTTTTATTGTAACATTATTGTTATATGCTAAAATAATGCCACATAAATTGATATAAGGTGGATTAGTATATCTATAACATTTTACTATACTTTTAAAATGTTTATTTTTACTGAGTCAGGGATGAGTAGATAGAGAAATTATGCATAACTATTGATGAATTTGTCAGAAAGTTCTTTACATATAATGTATTTTTGATTTAACATAAAACGATACGATTATACTTGTAAGTATAATATTATTATCTAAACACATTATAAAATACTAACAAATAAATTTTCAAACTAAAATTTTTAATATTGTTACGTATTTAGGTAATATTAGGGAGAAACAGACCTCAGTTATAATATTTTTTTTTCTTTTTAATTTTAATCATCATCAAAATATCAAATGTCTGTAGTTATAGAATTTTATGAACTACAATTTATTATTTGAAATATTTTCCTTTAGTTTATTACATTAACATTTAATTTGCGGGCTCTCTCCGGGGGTTGGGATCAGTTTTGCTTTTAGAATTCGCTATACAGCAAACTTAAATCAAAATCAAACTACAAGTAGTGTTTTATTTACAAATTGTATAAAAAGACAAAAATTAGATCAATGGCCCGATGAATTTCTCTTGCAAATTTTTTATTTTATTCAGTTCTCCTCTGACACTGGTCAGACACTTTGGTATTTCACAATTTACTTATTACGATAGTACATTTTGTCTTTCTATACTTATAGTGTTTACAATTGTTTGATTACTATTCTTACAGCTTTTACCTATTCCTATTGCTTATTGTCTATACTGTGTTTACATTAATTATAAGTTAAGTGATATATATATATATATATATATATATATATATATATATATATATATATATATATATATATAATCTTCTATTTAGTTTTAATTTATATCTATGCTTTGTATGCTATCTGTATTACATTTTGTTCACACCATAGGGATACTAGATAAGTTTAGCGATTATAGCGTGATTTTACCTAAAATGTATAAGAGGCAAGAATATTTTTTTTGTTATTTTGTACTCTTGCCAATTTTAGGATTGAGGAGCTCTTCTCGAGTGGGTACTGATAGCAGAAGCAATAACGCTTAATAAATAAATTTTGGATTTGAATGCTGGATAAAATATTGTTATCATTATCTAACATTTTGGTTTCAACTGCCGCGACTTTACAACTTGTACACCGTGTTTTACTTTACCGAAGTCTAATCGACGTGAGAAGCTTGACACAAACTAAAAATTATGCCTAGTTCTATACAGACTATCAATTAATTTCATTGAAAATAGACAAAATCTTAGAAATTGAACATGGCTGTTATATAATTGATTGTTTCGTTACCGCAGCTTATACACGTAGTATGTACGCACAGACTAGGAAATAATGATGCACCTAATATGTACTCGTAGGTATACCGTATACCATATACAATATTTATTTATTTATTTATTATAAAGGCTTACTAACTAAATTTACATAAAACATGTATTTAACATTATAATGTTACCTATTTGTATATAAATTTAATTTAAAAGTATTCACAGCTTTTTATAGAAGTATTCCATTAAAATTTTATGTTGTTACGAGTATATAAGGAGCCATTTCAGTTGTACAATAAACAAAAGAAGAAAAAAAAAGAAAACAAATCTAATCTAAATATACTTTCTTTTTAATTTAAACTATCAGAAAAAATGTCTATATCACATTGCTGAAATATAAAATTATATAATTTAAAGCTTCGTAATAGTGGTGAATTAGAACCGTATCTATTTTTTCGTGTGTAGTGGTTTATAGTTATTAGCTCTTGCTGCAGATCTTGGTATTTGTATATATGTATAGCTGTGAATACATTTGTAACCTCAAAGAAGATCATTGTGATCTTGTTTTTTATTGTACGAGAATAAAAAGCTAATCATATTGTCCGTATTATCTGTATTAATATTATAAATGTGAAAGTTTGGGAGTATGGATTTTTGTTACTCTTTCACGTCAGAACGACTGAACGGATTTGGATGAAATTTGGCACATAGATAGATTATAGTCTGGAATACCACATAGGCTTTATCTATAGACTTTTTATCCCGGAATAATGTACGGTTCCCGTGGCACAGGTTTGTTTTTGTTTTCCTAGAGGCGAACACGAGAGAAGCGAGGGTGAGCCGCTAGTATTAATATATTTTTAAATAAAATTTTATGTGTGCATTAATAAAATGATAATTAAAAAAATCCCAACACAATAACCTGTTCAGGTGTTAAGGTCATTTTAATAAACCTAAGCACATACGAGTATGTCAGCAGTATTTTACTATAGAGTTAGAATTAGGATAGTTGCAAAAAAGTGAGAGTATGTTTTTACTTCTACAGTTTAAGCTGTAACAACAATTTAGTTAAATTTGGGACTGCACATCAAAGCTTATATACTGGGTACGTGTCGTGGGCTCCTTGTCGTCGACGTACCACGCGAGCGAAGCCTCGGGAAAAAACTTCTAAACTCATACGTTTTTAATATAAATAATATAAAATATAGCTTGCAAATAGGTGAGTTTTGTAAAATCTGCTGCAGTCGGCTGAGTGTACTGTTTTGGTTGTTTGATGTTTGGAGCGCAAACATTAGTCAACTGATAACGTTGGCTCCAAATTCTATGTTACTATTTGTTTGATAAGAATAAGTATAGCTATAGATTAGTTAATGTATTAACGTAAAAAAATTAACATTGTTCACGACATTTATCGAAACTTCAAAAAACTTAAAACTATAAATAATAAATAGCTTGTGTGACAAAATCCTTTCTATTTACAAAGAAGGCCAATATATGTATATATAAAATAATAATTTGTAAGTCCTTTCGACTGTACTACGGATCTCTGAAAGAGCGCGGACTGCAACGCTGTACCGAGGGCAGAAAATGATGAAAAACAGCTCTACCAATGGGGAGCCGCGCGCGCACGCACACACGCGCGCCGGCCCTCCCCCACCTCCCCCACCCCATGCCCCCTCCGCGACACCCTCCATAGATAACATTCGATTTGACGATTCTGTGAGTGATAGTGAGCCGCAGCGATGCTCTCCTCGCACCTGACCAAATTTACTTTAATATCGTAATACCAAAAATTATAGAGGTGAGTCACTTTGTTCTTACCTATTATTGTGTTTTTTTTTCTATCAAAGTTTAGTTTTTTATAATAATATTTACCTAAGACTTAATTCGTATTCGCATTATATTTTTGTTGCAAATCACTTTATAAAGCTCTCGCGTATATCGCATCTTCAGAATAATTTGTAATTTTCTAGCTAATTATAATATTTATATCTGTGTATTATTATCGATGTTAATCCCTATATCTCTAAATTTTTCGCATTTACTTAGCCTAGGATAAGAAATTGCATGGAATGATATAATTTTGTCGAAGGATCAGTAAAGAAAGCATGTTACGATTCCTCACTAGTTTTTCGTCAATACTTATCAAGTATTTCAAAATTTACGTAAATAATAAAAAAATCGAATGTATTTACGATTTAAGCTTTTCAGTCAGTCAGTAAGTCAGGTGTATAAATATTTTTCACTCTTTTTGAATAAAACTATCTTTTCGGATTATTTCGCGGATTTATTTGGATTTTTGGTTCCCGACGTTTTGAATGCTTTACAGCAATCATAGTCACGGGAGAGACTGAGGTGTTAGATGTCTCGAAGGTATAGTTTTTACAGACAGCCTACCCACAAATAAAAAAAAGAAAAATTGTACCAAGTACCTTACAATATTTGATAACTTTAAACATTTTTATAATTTTAATTAGTTTCATAATTGAATATGGAATATTATTTATTTAATTTTTGCTGTTATTATTATAATTATTACAATTTTAAAAATATTAAATAGTAATCTATATTTAGTGTTGCCACTATTATATTTATAACCATAAAGGAAAATTATAAAATATAATATTAATTATTTAAGCCATATAATTGTTCTACTTACATGTAATTTAAAAAATAAAGCAAAAACAATAAATTGTAAAAACAACTAATTCATGCGTCATCCGTCCAATCGATCAACATTTTTTCCGAAGTCAAATATAATAAATCAAATACATAGCAGATTATATAAAAAAACTACAATTTATCTTTTCAGAAATTTAAAACTTCTTTTCAATAATTATCCATACTAATATTATAAATGTGAAAGTTTGTGAGGATAGATGGATGGATATTTGTTACTCAATCACGTCAGAACGGCTGAACGGGTTTGGATGAAATATGGCACAGAGATAGATTATAGTTTGGAATAGTACATAGTTTATTTTTTATCCCTGGAAATTTATTTTATTTATTTATTCATTTATCAAATACAAAAATCATTTATACAAATCTAAGACACTCGTACTAAGTGAACTTGTATTACGAGCGTCTTGCCTTCCATGTTGAACAATATGTATAATTAACACCAACATTATTCACAGTAAAATAGCATGCATTAAAAATTAATACTATTAAGGATAATTAAAAATATTAACAATAATTCTAATGATATTATTATTATTATTAATGTTGGGTGTGGTGCCGAGGTCGGCCCTAGCTACGTCGACCAGTTTTGGTCCATTGTAGCTCCCTTTATAGTGAGTTCAAAGTTCTCCGCTTAGTCCTGTTGACTCCAGGAACTTCCAGATTTTCTGAGCGGGGAGCATCTGTATCTCTTCCGGTTGCATAATATGCTGCCCTAGATAGATACTTCTGCGGTGCATGAGTGGACCGCACGAGCAGAGGATATGCATAGCAGTTTTCTCTGTCTCATGGCATAGTCTGCACATTGCGGTCTGACTGAGGCCGAGGGTAAACATATGTTTATTGAGTTTGCAGTGACCAGTAAGTATTCTGGTTACTGCACTGGTTTTATACTTGTTGAGTTGAAGCAACTCTTTTGTAAACTTTTTGCGATATCCCTTAATTAATATATATCCCTTAATTCTAATGATATGTGTATAAGTGTAATGTATGTGTGTGTGTGCGTATGTGTGTGTGTGCGTATGTGTGTGTGTATGAGTTATGTAAGGATATGTCCTATAATTGTGTGAACATGAGTGTGAGTATGTATTAAACAAACAGTTGCAAGTTAGGGATTTTAACAGGTCTTCTGTTTCATCATAGGTAAGACTCTTAAGCCATGAGGTAAGAATGATTTTTGCTCTGGGACGGGGCTTGCAACTGATATTAATTAAAGGAAATGTATGTTTCCTGTGGAAAAGATTTATTTTTGTCTAGGGACGAACCCGAAGCGAAGCAATGGTGCGCTGCCAGTCCTATATAAAATTAAATATTCCAATGCCCACGCTTCGTTCAGTTCCTGTCCTTAAGTAACTCTTTGCAATATGCCATAGGAACTTCATATGTACTCGTAAAGGTAAAACTAGCCTAGCCTTCTACTAGCAAGTATATTTGTGCAATAATTACTATGTTACTAAAAAGTAACTAATAATCGTCTCAAAAGAGTTTTTTTTTCGTTTAGGGATAGAATAGCTTGAAGTTAATGTGGATCCAGCCTTGACAAATAACTTTACCATTAAAACAAGAGCAATTTAAGTTGAATAACAAATGACGGTGACGACTCGTAGTTTATGCACACAATGCAGCCCTCTTTAACGTCCCACTGCTGGGCACGGGCCTTCCTTTAGTACAAGGTATATATCATGCCAAAGTCCACTACGCTGGCCAAGTGCGGGTTGGCAGAATACACATATCGTTCCGAAACTTGCCAGGATTCCTCATGATGTTTTCTTTCACTGTAAGACAGGTGGTAATCATGTTGGAAATAATTCGCTTACTACAATCAGAGGTGCAAGACTAAGATTGAACCCGCTTCATTCGGTGTCCTAAGCAAGTGCGTCACCACTGGGTTCCTGACATCTTTCAAAATTTGCTTTACAACATAGAAAAGATGGCAACTGGCAACATTAAATTTCAATTTAATTAAATTACTTTATAATATAACGATGAGCTTTTATGACAAAAAAATATAAAAATTTATATAAGCATATGTTAATACTGAAATAAGATAAGTTAAGCTTACAAAAATGAAACTTGTTCCCAGAAATCCATTTCACTTCGACTCTTGCAGCTGTATATATTAAACGAAATATGTATGTAACAAAATTATATTCATTTCTAACATCACCACCTAGAGTCCCTAAAGCTGTAAGTCGGTTCAATGACATTATGGCGGTGCAGGCGACAGGCTCTGAGCTACAATAAATATTTTATTAATATGCCCGTTATCAAAAGATGTAGGGCCCGGTGTGGTTATCGCGGGATCAGTGTGTCGAGCAAACATGCTCGCCATAAAGTTCCACGAGCTCTGCAGCGCCGGAAACTTCCCTCGGAGTAACGTGAAATGTGCGCTACTACGTCACTTTTAAGTTCAAATTTCGTTATTCTATCCTTGATCCTCTCTAGGGAAATAAAAGTTGTCGTATTGCGAGCCGAAAAGGTACAAATTGCCATGAAAGCGCCAATATTTGTTCATGATGAGCACACAGCGCCCGGACGCGCTATGTGTTCAGTGTAACGCTGTTCAGATCCAAATACAGAATTATACAGACTACAATATAATATACTAAAGCCATGATTAAGCTCGTAATAGGTGAAAATATATAAATCTTGGTTACTCGTTAATAAAAGAATAATAAAAAATATATTTTTTATGTTAATGTTCGAAAACAAGATGTTCAAATAGTCTAACATTAATCGGTGAAGCGGGCGGCCGAGTACTCCGCCGGCGCCGGCGCCGCGTGGACTTGTTCCCTATTTGTATTTCCGAGCCGACGTAAGTTTTCCGGTTCAAAGCCTTTAGTTTATTTACTCGATGTCTGACTAAGGAAGTTCGTCTTATTGACTTAAAAATAAAATTCAAAGTAAGACAAAAATGCCTTTTTGATCTAATTCTAAAGGCATAATAACTGGAAATATTGGTTTTTACATTTTAAAATATTATTTTAGAGTCAACATGGAGAATGTGTCTTCTATGTCACAAAGAAATGAAGAACAACGAGAAGGAGATAATAATGAAGCACTACAATTAGTTAAAAACGAAGAACGACATGAAATGGCAGTAAATGAGGCGAACTCAAATGCAAACAATGACAGCGGGTCATCCGTAGTCACCGTCTCTGAACACAACGCCGAACAACACTCAGTCATCACTTCACGTCGGGCTCTCAGAACTATAACAACCGCTGGGCATATAACGGATGCGACTGATTTGAATGATGAAGGCGTGAAAGATGAGCCACCTGAACCCCCACCGATAGAGCACGATCAGTTGCAGTATGCGCCCAAACTCGAGGATGTGGATGGTCGAGCCGCTGCAAGTCATTACGACGAAGAAAGATTGCGTATGGCAGAAGCAGAAACTGCACGATATTTGGCGTTTAAGCAAGAGCCGTATCGATCGTTACAGTCGCCGACCCTGGCGCCGCAAGACAAGCGACCGCAGCCACAGTACGCACGAGCCCCCCCGCCAAGACCAGCTTACGGTCGAGGTCTAGCTCTACGTTACGGAACCCCCCATCATGTCATAGTGGCACAAGATGGAGAAAACGAAGAACATGCTCACGAAGCATTTCTACAAAAAGAAAAAGCCGAACAGTTGCAACAAGCTTACGTAGCGTCCGAAGCCAACGCACAAGACGGACGACAGTACGCCGCAGTGCTGGGCGAACAAGTAGCCGTCTCCTCCGCATTAGAAATGATACAAACAACTTCCTTAAGCAATCAGCAAGCTGTCGGAGTTGCTTACCAACAGGTGAAGTATTTTTTAATAACCATTTTTCATATATACCTACGAGTATGACCATAGTACATATGTATTTTACTAAAATTCATACATTACATTGATTCATTAAATATTTTTTTCATATTATTTACTAAAATATATGCAGTACTTTCTGTATTAAAACAAAATTCGGGTTGTATAGTACAAGTAACCATAATATAAGCTCAGCTTATGACTATTTTGTACAGATGATAAAATAAAATAATTATATAGGTACATACATAATACTTTCTTACATTAATTTCAAAATGTAACTATATACATATTAATACTTAAAATAACGCATAGGTCAAATATGAGTCACGCGGCGAGGGCGAGCCGCGACCGACAACGTACGCAAGCCTGCAGCCGGTCACGTCTGTGCACAGCGCGAGCGGGTACACCTACGCCGGCCAGAGCCCTCAGTACGCGGCCGCAGGCTACAGTACATACGGCGGCGGCAAAGAACTCTTAACCTTGTATGGCACCGGAGCTGGTGCTCCTCGAGGAGACGATTCTCCTCCTGGTCAACTGCTCTACCGAAGTGATCCTACCCTTTCGTCATCATCGCTCAATACTCGAAGCGGCCACGTCGTTTACGGCTCTGTTGTGCCACAGTCACAGGCAGTTTACGAGAATCCACCTAGTCCTAACTCTCAACAGGTACGTGCAGATAATGAATATTTATTTACCGACTGTATAAATTCACTATATGCATAAAGTATTTTGTTTTCATAATCTAATTATATCGGAAATAACTGAAAGAATTTATCGTAACAGGTGAATGTGTTGTACACCCACGGCAATACAGTACAATATAAGGTCGGCGGGGAACACTACCTCGGTCAGGGCGGGGGCGTGGAGTTTGTTCCCGTATCAGGGTACGAGGGAGGCTTACTAGTGGAGAGCTACGCGGCGCCCGCACAGGCCTGGCCGGCACATAATCTGCTGCCTATTGACGACGGATTTGATCCGAGTAAGTTCTAAGAACAAAATATATTTACTATAGAAATATGAGCAATTTTTATTGTTTTTGCTATTTTTAGGTATGGCAGGAATGGGTGAAATGAAGGAGTGCGTCAATTGTGCGGCGGCGACTACGCCTCTGTGGCGACGCGATGGTACAGGGCACTACTTGTGTAACGCATGCGGACTTTACACACGCATCAATGGCGTAAATCGACCACCACTCAAAGGTCAAAAAGCAAAACCCCAACAGGCTCTCGTAAGTTTCCTAATATATGTATTTAAAAACTCATTTATAATTATTTGACTTTCGTCATTTCCATGCACTTTACATTGCGTGTAAAGAGAATATGGTGCTTACTCTCCTTTACTGCTTCATATCTAACTCTGTTTGATTTTGATTAAAGGAACATAATAAAGACAAACCTTAATTTAATTCCATCAAATATTAACTTTAATAACGTAGAGTGCTTTATTACTAAACTCTACAACGACAATTGCTAGTTATTTATAGTTTCAATTTCACCTCTTAGCCCACAAATGGCAACAGGCGAGTTGGAGTAACTTGTGCAAATTGTCGCACTTCCAACACGACGCTGTGGCGACGCAATAACAACGGCGAGCCGGTCTGCAACGCCTGCGGACTCTACTTCAAGCTACACAACGTATGTGTCATATCTTTTGTGTGATATTACAGGGCTAATAATGTCTAATTTTCCTGATGATTGTTTGTTTATAACTTTATCTACTCACTTAATGAATGAACGCAGATGATATAACATAGGAGCTAATATCTACACTTGGTACAAATTGTAATAGATATCGCAGTGAATGAGTGTGAGCGCGATTGTGCATCGATTACAGCAGGTTACGTTGATTAGATGCCACCAGAGCACCGCAGGTATCTAATCGCAGCTCTGCAACTCAGTTATCAGGGAACTCCTCGGCAAATATTGAGCCTGTATAAAAAATCAAAACACAGGGTCTCATCTAATCTCTCGAGATAAAACGGCCGGGGCTACCGACTGATAGAGAATTATCATCGCGTCCACGAATATTCATAATGAGATAAATAATCTTTTATCAATTATCTCCTCGCGAGTAGATACGCTTGTTTAAAGGATGATAGGACCGCGTGCCGGTAGATTACGAGGAGTTTCCCCGTCTGTCGGGTGCAGGAGTGACTCGCGATCGGTCGACTGCCGCACTTTGCTGGCATCCGTCACCAAGCAAGTGAAGTTGGACCAGTGAGTAACAACAGTAACCATGTTTGTTCAGGTGAACCGTCCGTTAAGTATGAAGAAAGATGGCATTCAAACTCGGAAGCGGAAGCCAAAAAGCATGGGTGGAGGTGCAGGAGGCGCGGGGGTCTCTAGAGGCGGTACTCTATCTGGTACGTTTTGATCATGTTAAGAAACGCTTATGTGCCGATATCTGGGTTGATCGTCCATTCAATACATATCACCATGCAACCATAAACAACCGATTTCTTTCTCACGAGCTTGCTTTACTGATTAGGATAGAATGATGATAGAATAAGTTACATGGTTGTAACGTTGCGTGGTGTGATGTGCACCGGTGTGAGGCTAACGGTGTGTGGTTGTGCGCAGTGGAGGCACACTCGCACAAGGTACTGCCTCCGCTGTACGCGGCGGTGGAGGGCGGGCCGGCGCCACTGCTCCTGCTGCCCGCGCGGCACCACGACCTCTCGTGAGTATCACCTCTACTCTACTACCACCTTCGTTGCCAAGCTTGCTCACTAACCTATGCTTAAAAATACAACTATTTGAAATAACAGTAAGTAATATTTCTCATATTTCTTATTTTTATGTATAAACTTTTAATCTATTTATGTAGTATGTCTGTGGAGAATATTATACATTTTAATTATGCGCTGGTGTTTATTTCCACACAATTCCACTTGGAATTTTCTTTTGTACACAAAATGTTATTTTCAACTTATGCTTGCTTGCTCTACCTCAATTTGTAGTAATCGCACATCGTCTGTTTGCACGTGTCTTACGTTATCTTTACTTTATAACACACACACTCTCAGCGATAGTGTGTAATATTACATGACGCAAGGATAGAATATAATATGTTGATTTATGTTTCAGGGTACCAACGCTAGAGAGATCGGGCTCGACCTCCACGCAGCACTATCGACCACCTTAATTTTATATTTATTACAATCTTAAATAAATAAAACTAAAACGTGTCAAAAGTATGCTAGGCATAAGTGTAGCCCTGTGAAACTCGCCTATGCTTGGCTTATCTGTTCCTTTTTACCAAAACGCCACCAAAATAGCATTTATGATTGCGATACCTGTATTATCTAGCGATCGGCGCTGATAGCGTTATCGGTGATCTTGTAATATATTGCTATCAAATCGACAAAAAAATACCTATAAGTATATAAGTCAATTTTATTTGAAGTAATAACAGCTAAAATATTACTATGCCAAAGAAAGGATTAACTTGACAGTAAGTAGAGTTTAAAAAGACGAATGTACAAATTATTTCTATTGAAATTCATACACGCTAGCCAAATTTTATCTATATATTGTGCAATATTATTATAAAAATTGTAAAGGATTTATGATATTTACATTTAAAGTTGTACATATTATAAATACTAATGTATTATGTACGCGTGCTGTACTGCATGTCCCACTTGTACCAAAAACAGTCAGGTGACAAAAAGTGGCTAAAATGAGTAAAATATTGTTAAAATATTTCTACTTACATAATAAAATGGTATTTTCGCGGTACTATTTAGAGTTTCTTCGAGTAAATAAAAATCTGCTGTCGTCGTGAGAGATAACGCTCTTTGTAAATTGTAAGATATTGTTAGTTGTTGGCTCAGAGCATATTGAGTTAGAGCTTAAATTAAAATTATGACGAATTTATTAATATATTTTATATGGATTTATATAAGGAGATATGAATGCGTGCGTGCGATGCTGTGTACCTTGTCTGTGTACATTGTACAGGTCTTTAATTTATACTCGACAAATGACGAATAACTTTAAATGTATGTAATATATTGTGTAAATCTGGTGTACTTTTGGGAGTAATTTTAATAAATGTCTTGCCAAAATATGTATTTATATGATTTTATCGTTTTGTTTCATATCTTTGTTACCACTTCTTTTCACCACATACTATATAACACTTATATATAAATATATTTGGACATTATCACACAGTCACACAGCACTATCTGTTCCATGGTAAACTACGAGGCTTGTGTTATGGATACCAGATAGTACACTACACTACACATATTATATAACTTTAAATATATAGATGTAAAAAACCCATGACTGGAGTACAAACATTAGTACTCATCACACAAATGAATGCCCCCCCAGCGGGACTCAAACCCGCGACCGTTGGTACAGCAAGTAGAATCACTAAGAACTTGGCCAAAGGTTTCATCAAATATTATTTTCCAGATATCTCTATACCTCAGGAAGTTTTGCCTTGCCTTTACCTGAAATAGTAATCACTCTTGAAAATCCTTCAACTGCCAGTGAAACTCCAGAGTTAGCGGGCACAGGCAGACACACATTGTTTCATAATGTTTCATTGATCCACCTATATGGACCAGAAACCGACCAAAAACTTTAAAATGTTTTTGAAATAACAAGCTGATTTACATACAGATTTATTTATGAGTATAGATAATTTTATTATTAAAAATACAGTTTATATAAAATTTTACATTAAGCATATTTAGATAAAGTTAATATCACGCATTTTTTAAATAAATTCCATCTATCTTTTCGGATTATTTCGCGGATTTATTTTGATTTTTGGTTCCCGACGTTTCGAATGCTTTACAGCATCCATGGTCACGGGAGAGACTGAGATGTTACATGTCTTAAAGATATAGTTGTTACAGACAGCCTACCCACAATTAACAAAATGAAAATTGCACCAATTACATTACAATATTTTTAACTTTAAACATTTTTTATAATTTTAATTATAATTGAATATGGAAAATTATTTATTTAATTTTTGCTATTATTTTTTTTTTATAATTACTACAATTTAATTGTTTAAAGTTTATAAATTATTTGTTTAAAGTTAAAAATATTGTAATGTAATTGGTGCAATTTTCATTTTGTTAATTGTGGGTAGGCTGTCTGTAACAACTATATCTTTAAGACATGTAACACCTCAGTCTCTCCCGTGACCATGGATGCTGTAAAGCATTCGAAACGTCGGGAACCAAAAATCAAAATAAATCCGCGAAATAATCCGAAAAGATAGTTTTATTTAATAATGTCAAACATTCGCGTAAATCTAAGAAAGTATTAAATTCCATCTTTTATATTTAAATGACATGGCAATATAAAGACAAAGCAATAAAAAGGTTAAATAATATACTTTACAACTAAAAACTAAACTTATATATTTATAAAATATATAATTTACTGCTTTAAACAAAAACCTTTATTATTCCTTTATATATGTATTTTCATCCAAACAAAATACACTTTTATAATAGAGTTTAACTGATGATTTAAATTTGTTTGAATTTAATATTTATGTATTTGAAAAATACATTAATACCGTGGCGCCATCTAGGCAATGAAGACGACTCACTGTTTAGTACACTCTTGTGTAGATGGCGACTTACTGTTAAGTTAAAAGCTCACTGAGGAGCTTAAAGTTTTAATTACAGATAATATTTTGTTTAATATTCGTTGTAATTAATTATTCCTAAAGTAAGCTTCGAAAACAACGCTCTTACTAATTATAACAATTAATTAATTAGTAAGAATAACAGTCGTATTGTAATATTTAATGTAAGTATGTACTTTCGTTACTTATTAAATTATGATTTAATAAGAACAGATAAATGTTTAATAAAATAAAATATAGTTAAGTATTTATAGATAGAAAACGAAATTACTTTTGTTAAGCATTTCTTAACATCTAACTAACTCTATCGTGATTGACCCGCTGATGTAGAGATGTCGCTAGTAGTAATGTAAATGTAGAGTAAAGCACTTTGTATAATATATTCTTACCAAAGCTGGTTTCCAGATCGGATTTGGCAATCGCTGTGTATATTATTTTTAACAAGTGGAGACCGTAGCTCGGCATGAATCTGATATTTTTTTAAATTTGAATTTCAGAATATGTACGATATAGAGATATTTTTAATTTAAAAAAAAAACTTTCATTTAACTTGTTTTATTTTCTCAGTCGATTCTTCAGTTTCAAATTCGATTTTTTTAAGTACTCGTTGCCATGCATTGCGCTGACATTTGATATATCTTAATAATTTATTGACAATAAAGTATAAATAACATGGAATAGTCCATTGCAGGAACCGGAAAGTACTTCAGGAACTCATCAATAATCCTATCCTACTAAAAAATAAATGAGAACTTGTTTAATAAAATACTTTTTTCATTTAAGCTTTAAAGGTTTTATTTTATTCAACGTCGGACAAAGTGTAAGTCGTAAACTTTGTTTTGTTTTTTTAAAGTAAAATTGCCACTAAACAAAAATGGTTTGTGTAAAAACAAAAAAAAAGCTCTGTGGATCTGCTTAAATTTTTAGAAAATTACTTTACTTTTTATAAACGGACTATTTGTATTCTATATATTTGAGCAAATTTTAATTTATGCTGAGAAAAGATATAACTTTATTGGTGTCAATTCATTAGACTTTTAATGAATAAAAACTTAAAAATAACATATATTTTTATGAGGCTATTGGCCGATTTCACCAACTTCACCTAAGTTTATGATCATGCATGAATGTCATGTCATGTATCATGTTTATGATGAAGCATGGTTAGGGGGCTGTTAGGGAACAGTTTCTGTTTCACCGACAGTTAGGGGTCACCTAAATGTTAAAATGCCACCTAAATATAGGTCCTAGAAATACGGGCTCTGACGATGGTAAGACGAAATTTAATTTAGGGGCTAGTTTAGGGCAACTTTTAAGTTAGGGATCCCATACGTAGGTGGTAGCTTATGGGTTATTGGTGAAATCGGGCATAAATCTAATATGTGATTGTAGCTTTTTTATATAATTTTTTAAAACAACAATATACTATGTATTTTGTTTTATAAATATAAATAGTATATTTCTCTATATTAAGTAATGTTCATTTAACTTATTTTATGATTTTGTAACTTATATAATATATTAATGTTATAATTTTGTCAACTTTTATAAAGTCGGTACAGATTTCATGCCCATTTCCCGCGTCAGTTAGATGGCAATTACCCATCATAGTTACAAGACTACGTTTTAAGTAGCCACATTGTTTCAAACATGTTCATAAAGTTGCCTCAGGTTATCCACACTTCGTCATCTCGCACCAGTTTTGGAAATAATTTGCGTGTAAGGTGAAAATTTTATACGAGCTTATATAGTACATACAATCTTCTTACCTTCTCTTGCTTGTATATAGAGTATATCTCTTGCTATTTTCTACACTAGAAAGATTTGCGATATCAGCAGGCACTTCTTTTCCATTGGGCACTCTGGGCAAGTGCCCAGGGCCCCGCGACGGGCCTCCTCCGGCCTGCCCTCAAAAAAACACTCTTTGCAGCCGCCGTTCCATTCTACGCATAATTAGTATTTGCAGTGCGATATACAGTGAGTTTCTAGTTCCAAAGTTATAAAATGTTAGTATTATATTTTTTTTATTGATTTTATATAATTTAATTAGGTTCAATTGAACATTAAAAGAAATCCAATTTGACAACTATCAAAATCCGTAAATAGGAATGAAATGGCAATGGCATTGAAATAATTAGGTATCTAATTAGCATATTAATTAAATTTGCATACTAATATAACTTATCTGGGGTAAACTACTTAATAAGTACATTGCTTCAAGAAAGATTGACCAGTTTGTCGCTAAAGTCAATAGAATGTGATGCGCTCAAAGACAAAGAACATTTGAACAACTGATTGACGATTTTGCTTATATGAAAACTAGAAGGGTACCTTTATAATAATCATAAAATTAGCACAGCAATAACCTGTGAATACTAAGAGTCACTTTTCCGAATCATATAACATTTATCTATTTATTTATTGTGATTGTAAAGAAATAAATAAAATATTATATAATTTTAGAATTTTGCT